GGGTGGAGCTCTGCTTTTAAAGCTCCTTCATCTTCCATATGTCTTACTGTTTGTTGCTGTATTAAGCTGATGCTGTAATAAGCTGAAGCACCCAGCCAGCTCTAGTACTTCCCCTCACACTGTAGGCATCTCCCCCTCTCTCATTTGCAGGGCGATCATCCAATGGGGGTGTCAGCATCCGCACTTGACCCCCTGGCACCTGCATCTTCCTTGTTCCCATTCTGTACTCAGTGGGATCCGCTCAGGAAATCCGATCTGTGGAAGCCATTGTGAGACAAGTTGTCACTTGTAAACACAGAAACCAGACTTCTATGTTTACTAATGATAGTTGTAAGCAGGGAGCAAAGGGCCTGAGCCAGAGGTGCTGGAACTGAGTTTCACCATGTTCCAGCTGAAAAAAAGCCCCCCCTGGGTGTACTTATCTGTACCTCCATGTGACAGGCTTTGCTCACTCACACTGTAAAGATGTGATAAGCTGTCTTTGCTCACTCACAATGTAATGGTGTTCCGTGCATCCCCGTGCAGACAGTCCCCATGCAGCGGCTGCATCCCAATAGACACGAATGGGACTGCCTACACACACAGATGCATGGAACACCATTACATTGTGAGTGAGCAAAGACAGCTTGTCACAAGGGTGTACAGATAATACACACATGTGAATGAAGCCAAACTCTCCACCAGCAACGCAGAAAGATGCTTCCCCACTGCAGATTTTCACTCACTTTAGTTAAAAAGGTGTCACCAGGAGTGGAAGTGGGGGGTAATCTCTCTAAGCCCTCATGCACACCTGACGTTTTTACAGCGGCTGTTTCTGGCGTTTGACATTTTTTTCTACAGCCAGTAAACCCCCCAGCATATTATCCTATGTGTCCATGCACACATAGACTGTAATCAACGTTTTTTGGCTGGGACGTTTTTTGGGAGGAAAAAACCCCAGAACTAGTGGGTTTCTAGATGAGTTTTTTAGCTGTAAAAATGCTCTAATGCTGACAAACATGGCAAAACGTTGCAAACCAGCGTTTTTGAATGTTTTTCTGACCAAAAAAAAACTGCTAAACAATGCAAATGCGGAAAAATGCGGGAAAACTTTGTTAAACACAGCAAAATGCCACTAAACGCTAATGTAAAAAACGCTAAAAAAAGCTGAAAAGCTTGCGTTTTTAACGTGATGTTACACAGCTAACATTACCGGCGTTATCAAAATGTCCAATGTGCATGAGGGCTAACAAAGCCCCAAACAGCAGTAGGACCTGACGGGTGCTAACCTACCCCCACTCCACCCAAGCTGAAAAAGTTTTTTGGCTATAAATATCCTTTAAATTAGATATTTGTGTAAAGTTAGAAACAACTAATCTTTCTGCAAAAGGCAAGGATTATCTAACAGCTATACACTTCTGAAAGAATTACAAAAAAGATGCAAATGACCACTCTGCATCAGCACATTCCAGGTGTCAGTGCTGAATGGAGTACCAAATATATTTGGTTGTGTGATTTCCAAATTAGCAGTCAGACCAACTTCAAAAACTGAAACAAAACTGTCAGGAGGGCACTTGTAGAACACTAAGCAACACTGCCCAGAAATATCCACACCATGTTTTTTGTTTTTTTTTTTAGCACAGGAGCAGAAGCACTTTGGTTACTAAAACATGTTACCTGATTAAGGGCCAGTTCACACCTGAATCGCACAGGAACGCGGACCACATGATTTATATGAATGGGCAGAAAACGCATTGGATCACACCAAAAGTAGTGCATACGCTACTTTTAAATGTGCACTGCAACCGGATTGCATGGTACTGCCGCACCATGCGATCCAGTGCAAACAAACTAATTTTGTTTGCAATTTGCATTCAGGACGTCATTAGGAATGCATTGACACCCACAGCAGATCACACACCCAGTGCATTTTGAAAGCAGTGCAGTCCCGGTATAAGTCGCTGATCACCACTATTCCTAGTCTAAAAAAAAAAATTCAAGTATCTATACCGCCTTTTGTAGACGCTATAACTTTCACATAAACCAATTAATTTACACATATTGGAATTTTTTTTAGCAAAGACGTAGTAAAAAACATTTTGACCTAAATTTATGATGAAATTAGATTTTAAAATTTTTTTACTGGATGTTTTATAGCAAAAAGTCAAAAATATTGTTTTTTTAAAATTGTTTTTTTTTTTTTGTTTATCGCGCAAAAAATTAAAAACGCACAGGTGATCAGATACCACCAAAAGAAAGCTCTATTTGTAAGAAAAAAAGGACATAAATTTAGAAAGAAAAAAAGGACATAAAAGTAACGCAGTGCTGTATCACTGAAAATGGCCTGGTCAGGGGAGGTAAATCCTCTGGAGGGCAAGTGATTCATCCTGCATACAGTGCTACACCACAGCTGTTTATTGTAATCTGCAAATTACTTTGACTTATTGTTTTTGATCTCATAAATGTTCTCTCCATACACCTCTGAGGGACTCTTTTCTCTTCTCTTCAACTTTGTGGGTATGAGCAGTGCCAGGGGTGGACTGACAACTCATGGGGCCCCCGGGCGATAGGGGATCATGGGGCCCCTGTGTCCTTGCCCAAACTCAAAAAAGCCTATGAAAAAGGTACCAGGGGCATCTCATGGGGCCCCCTACTGACCCCGGGCCCTCGGCCAGTGCCCAAGTTTCCAAGTGGTCAGTCCGCCCCTAAGCAGTGCACATATATCGCTGTCACTTCTCTCCTTTAACTACAGATCCCAGCTATCAATGCAGCCTTCTGATTCTACTACATATGTGTTCCCATTTCATTCATTCATTCATTCATTTATCAATGTGTATTTAGCAGTTTGCCTTGAGTTCAACTTTAAGCCAACATTTTTATTTTCACCGGCACCCACTTTATAGTCAAAGCCAGGTGGCAAAGACTTTGTGCAGACAAACAGTAAAACAAGCCTAAACCACACCTGGCTCATTTGCAAAAATAAATATTTGTAACCCCAAATCCTTTTTATTGCGTAAGTAGCTTGAAAAATGGCTAGTAATAGTCTGAAAGTCCTGAGAACTACAAATTCACTAATATGCAAATCTTATATTAAAATAAGATGCCAGTAATTAAAAAAGAAATCCCTAAGTAAATGTTTCGTCCTGAAAATGCAATGTTGTCAGAAAGTTTTATAGATCCTGGTCAGGTCACGTGTCTTTTCTTCCCTGCCGTCTCATAAAGATTTCTTAGGAGCTAGTAATAAAAGTTGGTAAATAAAGACACCAAGACAAATCCCCAAGCTGAGAAGGATTCTCCTAGAAGCGTGGGTTCTCATTATTTTCCCAAATTTTGGCATAGGCTTGGGTCAGTCAGCTTAAGCAGTGTCTGTGTTTGTCTACCATCCTTCACAAGGCTCTGTCTGCAAAGGCCCAGAGCTGCCAATACATATTCATGAAAGACAAGCCCTTCTAGGCTCTTTTAACATTGACAAAGACCTAGCTGTTTTGAGGCCGCCATCTGACTCATATTGAGTGTAGAGGTGGATGACCAGATTAGTGCAGCCCGCTAGATTATTTCTTAAATCGTTAGGCCTCGTCCGCCTAACAATTTGCCTCAATTGTCATTTGTGACAAGTCTGTCATTAGTTGATAGGTTCTTTTGGACTTTAACAGATAGAGATAATTTCCTTAACTTCCATTTTATTTGACAAGAGACTGCAGTGGCTGGAGAGGAAGTGCCTGAGCAGTTTATGGATTAAGGCTTTAGGCACTTCAAAGGCATCTTTGATGTTAAAGATATGTGCTTTACTAAAGCCAGTAAGTTAGTTATTGGCAAATTTGGTTTTAATATGTGCTTTTTTTTTTAGGAGAACGACATATTCTGTTTATTGGTAGGAGATTATATTTTTAAGAAAAAAGGAGCATAACACGTTATTATTGCTACCGCAGGGGAAAACAACAGGTGCACTGATATTTGGTATTGTAAGTAATGAATGATCTAGGTCTGAAATACAGCTGAAATGCTCCCAAGGAGACTGACAGGCATGTCTAATGAGAGGAATGTCATATTAAGCAAATAAAGTGACCAATGTCTTCAATAGATTTCAACCAAGACTTGGGGTGGCATAGGTCACAGAAGCTCCTAGCCTTAGGAATTGCTTTGGGCTTGTATCTGTTCTTACCCAAACTTTTGGAGAATGGTTTGCCACATATATAAACCAGTGCTGAAAAGTGGTATAAACTAATAGTATTAATTAGCTTGGGTCACAAAGACCAGATTATGATTGAAATTGCCTTAATTCTCTCTCTTAGAAATAGCAGGTGGCAAATTTTTAGTAACTTTACAAGCTTCATTGGGTTTTTTTGCCTTCTTTTGGATCAACTGTGGGTATAGGTTTGTGCATATGGAGATTTTCTGTTTATTTATTTTTTTCTATTGGTTGAACGAGAAGATGAACTTATGGGGGGGATTTATGAAAATGGGTGCACACAGAATCTGGTACAGCTGTGCATAGTAACCAATCAGCTTCTAACGTAGGGCAGCACAGTGGCTAAATAGTTAGCACTTCTGCCTGGCAGTACTAAGGTCGTTGGTTCGAATCCCAACCATGGCACCACCTGCCTGGAGTTTGCATGTTCTCCCTGTGCCTTTGTGGGTTTCCTCCGGGTGCACCGGTTTCCTCCCACACTCCAAAGACCTGCTGGTAGGTTAATTGGATCCTGTCTAAATTTGCCCTAGTATGAGTATGTATGAATGTGAGTTAGGGACCTTAGATTGTATGCCCCTTGAGGGTTAGGGACTGTTGTGAATGTACAATCTATATGTAAAGCACTGTGCAAATTGACGGCGCTATATAAGTACCTGTAATAAATAAAAAAATAAATAAACTTCAGCTTGTTCAATTACACTTTGACAATAAAACCTGGATGCTGATTGCTTGCTATGCACAGCTGCACCAGATTTTGGGTGCTCCAGTTTTAGAAAATCTCCCCTATGTGTTTTTCAACCTGACTAACTATGTAACCAGGGGCGGACTGACCATTTGGAAACTCGGGCACTCCCCGAGGGCCCGGGGTCAGTAGGGGGCCCCATGAGATGCCCCTGGTACCTTTTTCATAGGCTTTTTTGAGTTTGGGCAAGGACACAGGGGCCCCATGATCCCCTATTGCCAGAGAGCCCCATGAGTTGTCAGTCCGCCCCTGTATGTAACTATGTAATTTATAGTCAGTCAGTCTGTGTGTGTTGCTAAATCGGCATCCAGAGTGAATGAGACTGCTTCTGCGTATAACATACAGAAACACGGTAGGATACTTGTTCCGATTCCATTGATTTGAGTTGGAGTGCTGTGAAATTATTGGTAACCACAGGTGGCTGTGGCTAAATTACTTGTAATGTTTTTTGGCTTCTTGAAGAGGATTATCCATTTTCCATGATGCCAGCTTTCCTACCTTAAAGAGCGTTTACTGACCACTCTTAGTAGGGGGTCACAAGCCTTCTGGTAGCCTTACCTGAAAGTGAATGGTGTCACCTTGGCTATCTTTGAAATTTCCAATTTCCACGATGGCATGGGGGATTGCTCATTTGATTGTTTATATCACTCACCTCTTTGGACACTTTATGATCACTTTTTTATTCATATTATATTTGTCACATTGATTAGTACAGGTCAGAATCGCCCTGTACTTTGAAAGAATTTGTTATAATTAAGTGCTGCATTGTTGTTATACACATATTTATGTCATTTATACCACAGATTAATTACAGTGGTTAGTAAGAGATCTGATCACTGTAGATCTAAAAGGGATGAATCCTTCTTGCAGACATTAAGACTAGGGGCTTAGCAAATTTCAGGTTTTCTTGTCATTATTAAAACTATAAGCAGTAGAGCTTTGCTAAATATTTGGCATTCTTGCTGTGCAGCACTGAGGCCAAGGGTGGATGTCCCAGTTCTGTCTGCTTGGAGTTGTTTCTTCTCTGTATTTGCCAGGCTGTCCCCTCTCTGTATTAGTTATTTTCCTTAACCAAAATTAAGCTGACAAACAAACTGAAATACAGAACCTAGGTATTTGAACTCCACTGTGCTGGTTACCCACGTTATGTGTATATCAATGATCGGCAAAACAAAAACTATAATTGCATTCATATAAAATATAAATATACTGCTGTATTATTACATCTGTACCAGTGGGTTATATAGACATCCAAGTGTGTTCAAACAGTCCATACAAGGGTATCAGAATCTAAATCATATATATTCTAAGCCAGGTCACCTGGCAGTTCATTATACAGGCATACCTCGGTTTATGAATTTAATGCGTTCGGTAGGGCTTTTCGTATTGCGAAAAATTCATAAACTGAAACGCCGTTTCCCATAGGAATGCATTAAAAACCAATTAATCCTTTCCGGAGTTCAGAAAAAAGTGAAATAAAAAGTCTTTTATCAATTCAAAACTCTTTATAAAGTGCACTTTAAGGGCATAAATACTGTACAGGGACATGATTAAAAATGAATTCATAAATGCATTGAAAACCAATTAATCCGTTCGTATTGTGAAAAAAATTCTTAAACTAAGCCATTATTGTCAATGGATTTTCATTTGTAAACCGAAAATTACATTAACCGAGGCAATTGTAAACCGATGTACGCCTGTATATCCATTGGCAATCCTTTTTTTGTGTAAAACAAAACAAGACTACAAGACTGTCCCAACGCACATTATCCTATAAAGCAATGGTCTCCAAACTGCAGCCTGTAGGCCCGATGTAGCCCTTTGGATGTCTTTATCTAGCCTTTGGGACACTATTCTGCCCACTGATAAGCGGCACTATTGCTTCCAAGGACACCAACGAGGCACCTTTCCTTCCACTAATGCCAACAGTGTGGCATAATTCCTCCCACTAATACCAATGATGCAACACTATTCCTCCCACTAATACTATTGATGGGCACTATTCTTTCCACTAACACCAATGATAGAGCACGTCAAGGATGGAGCACTTTTCCTACCACTTATAACAATAATAGGCCACTATTCCTCCTACTTACCGCAAGTGCTGTATAATTTTTTTACTCCCACTAACACTGAGGCATTTTCTACTCCCACTGGTCACAGTGTGGCCCCAATGAAGTCTGAAGAACAGTAAACTGGCCCTTTGTTTACAGAGTTTGAAGAACCCTGCTAAAAGTAATTCAGCATATGCAAACCCTTCTGTTATTGGAAATGGAAGATGCCCAGTATGCTAGTAGTGTGCCCAGTATGCTAGTAAATAGGGAGGCTTCCAGTAAGTGTGATTACAGCTGATCAAGTAGGAATGTACAAGAATGCGTCCAATAATGATTATATTAATGTGTTAAGGTGCACACTTGCAGTAACTGTTATGCATAGTATATAGGTTAAAAAAAAGTTTTAAGAACTCCACCATCAGCAGGCACTTTTAGTTAAGCAGCAGTATACAGAACCTGAGGCCTATTGTGCCGATCTTTCACACATTTCGCCAGCATACACTCAATTTGCTCAGAGGGCCGTGTCCAGGGATCAGGGCTAAGGTCCTGGGTACAATTCCCATTATTAGTTCTGTCTGGATTGAGTTTGTACATCCCCCTTCCCATTGTTTGGCTGGGTTTGTTCTGGGTGCTTGTTTTTCTTCCTCCAACGAAAAAACATACTAGTCGATTAAATGGATTCAAACTAGAATGCAAACTGCTTTGAAGCAGAGAATGATGCAAATGGTTTGATTTACTCTGTAATATGTGCAAAATTACTTTACACTGATAATTTATGTTGATGCTATATAAATATGAAAAATCTAATTTTAATAATAAACCTAACAGCAACACTATTATTAATCAATTTGATGTAGTTGATTTCTGAGATTTATAAATGTGGGTAATCAATAATCGGGAATAAAATTCTTGTTCTATAGTTTTTTTTATTGACGTTTGACAAATACAAGAGTAATGCAGACAAGTACATGCATATACACTCATTTTGACAGTACAGTATCAACTAAGGGTCCACAGGATAATAAAATAATAATAAAGCAATAAGGTACACATAATAAAACCAACAAATATGTTGTAGACCTATGTTATTTGCTTGTTTTTTACCAGATTATTCTGCATAATGAATCACTTTGTCTTTCTAACAATTTTTACATTGAAAGGATAACAATAAATGAATGGAGAGTGACTGTAAAATGGTCAAACAATTTAAATGTAAATGGGTGAAAATGTCACCATATATGGGAAATTAGCAATAACTGTTTAAGTCATTGGGAGACTTATGTCATGCTCACATGTGATCCAGTAAGTTTAAAAATTTGGAACCAAATAAATTGGCAAAAGTAATCTAATGAGTCATCACGTTTGAGCAACATGCCCTGAGGAATGGATGTAGGATGAAGTAAGGTTCCATAAAGGGCCCCGTCATTTACAATAAAATTAGATTTGAGGAGGCAAGAAAATTGTTTAGGTCCTAGATCCACTAAAAGAAAGATCCATCTTAAATCCTCCAACCACAGCCTCTCCAACAGCAGAATACATACAGACCAAAAAACACGGGCAAGTTACTCAACAACAGTAAGGTATCTACAGTTTTCTTTGTTGCTCTCTTATTATATCACTTTTATCAGTGACAGAGGGTATAACTTCCAGGACTAAAGTTAGTACAGCTGTCTTTAGATCATGCAGCCTATGCAATAACATCACTTCACGTTACTTACCAGTGATATACAGTACTGTAACAGCGTATACCCAGAGATGGACGCGGTTCAACCATTTTGGCTTCAACCTCCATCTTGGCAAAGCGATTAACCATCCTGACAAACATATTTCTCCCTCATTCTTCCCCCTCCCTTTCTGAGAGGCCCAGTGACTTTTGGCCAGTATGTGTGTGAGTTAGGAATGTCACAGGAGGGTCATAGGAGCTCTAAAGCCCCCCAAGGGAGCTGGGACCTCCCTGTCCAAAGAACCTGCAAATTGTAACACCTCGGAAGAGATAAGGCAAGCTTTCCCAGGAGTTGAAAGAGATTCCAACCTAATAAACCTAACTCAGCATATGTGACAGAATCAGATAACCACTTTTCAAAATCCATTTTGCTTCTATGTCTCATATCTTGGAATATGAGAGACTTACATAAAAAAACGGACATATCGTCAAATTGGCCACGAGAAGGCGAACAGTTTGGTAGGTCACTCGCATGGTCTCGCATACATAGTAAAGCCGAAAAATAGTTCTTGTGAACCGTGCAGTGTATAATTTCATAATTCATATCTAATCAATCCTCAGACGTGTCTGCCTAATAATCTAACCGCGGGTGGAATGTCACTTGTGCATAGGAAAAGTTATGGGCCAAAATATGAGTTATGGGAGATTTTGGCTTTAACTGAGGTATCCGCCCATACCTAAACGCCCTAAACGGGATATTGGTCCTTGACTTTAGAGACACCCCCTGCTGGGGACCACAAAATAGGCTGTCAGGCCTAAGAGTGCGAGTTGAAGACATCTCCCATTTTAACATCAATACCACCTGGGGGAGACCCATGCCCTTTTGCTCTGAAACTTGGATCTGCTAACCCAGGACTTTGGCAAGTACCTTAACCCTTTCTCCTCCCTCTGATATCTCTTTGCTGTGCCCTTGGTCTCTATGTTTATATATACATCTTAGTTACATCTTTTTCTGTAAATATTTTTATTGCACCCGTTTGACCTTTTAGTAATAAATCTTTCCTTCTGAAAGTGTTGAACTGTTTCTATAGCGCTTTATTGCAATTTACGAATTCCTGCCTCTAAAGAGAACGCTACTGTGTTTGTTTAACCCTCTGTATAACCGTGTTATACATACGATTACCTCAACCATTATAGTGTTATAACTGATATCGCCGAGTTTCCTCTTTCTCTGTACAAAAAGGAGGTGGTGGCAGTGTGAAGGGTTAATTGCGTACTTAACCTGATCCAGTAACAATCGCTCAGGCTGCCGGTACATCGATTGTGGTCCAATTAGCTGGAAAATCGTTGTGCAGGGTGCAGCTGGGTGTGGCATTCTTACGCACTTGACATCGCGGTAGATTGGCTAGTCTTTTGGTCACGAGTTTGGTGAGAAGGGCTG